TGGGTCAGTGCAGGATGTCGCATCTCACAGTGGGGCCGGTCATATGGTCCTCTCTGTGCATCGGTTGCTCCAAGCTGGGCTATTGTCCTCTGAGCTTGGTGAGTACAACTCTGCTTATCTCCTATGGTTAGTTGCCCTTTGAAATTTTCTGTTTAACTTTTACTTCGCTCTTTCCATTTGCTTTAGCTACTCATCGTTTAGGACCAAGTTTCAGAGTTTCTTCTGACCTCCACTTTTATCTTTTTTTCCATTTCTTGTCTTTTAATGAGCTTTTGCTTCCTTTATGTATGACATTCTTGATGTCATCCACAGATCAGGGACTTTTCCATTATGAACATTCAATGCGTCATATCATGGCTCAGATTCTCTCTAAATTCAGATGGGATGTACTCAAGGTTGTATATTGACTCTTATGAATTTCTATTTTCTTCAGCAAATGATGCTCTGGCCTTCTCTGTTGTCTCTTCCCACAGATATTGCTGATTTGGGTCCTGTATATTCTATCAGGTAATGTCCACATGGATGGTCAGTTAGTGTTGTCCAAAAAAAGTATTTGCATTTGTACAATTGTTGACACCATCATTCTCAAAACATTTGCTTTCTGCTTGAGCCCTTGGTATCAGCTCCTATGAGAATTCTGATGTATATATGGATTGTGATAAGAGTTGTACTAGCCCCAATAAAATGATTTTAAAAATAAATAAATAAAAGGGACATATCCCTTGTATATTTACCCCCCCCCAAAGTAATATGTGCTCATTGTAAAAACTTGAATGTATAGTGAACTCTGAATAAGAAAATAAAATTAATGTTAGATGCTAAACAAAAAAAGTATTTGCAACTTTTTGAAATAAACATCATTGGTCTTGTGACTTCCAGCTTTGTTTCTTTCCATGCCACATTTCCTAACTACTGTCTGCCTTCTGCGTCCAGCTTCAAGTTCTCGTCACCAATTATCAGTGCATCTGGATTGCACATTTAATCAACTTCAAACTGAAGGAGTTGGTGGAATTATTTAATTCCTTTGTCAGTAGCTTTCATTGTTGGTGCATAAATCGGAATAATAGTTGTGTTAACTGTCACTCCCTAATCGGCATATAGATACTATCCTGTTACCGAAACATTGTACTTCAATATAGATCTTGAAATGTTCTTCCTGTTGGTAATTGAGACACCATTCTAATGGAATTTGTCCTTCCAGCATAGTGAAATATATGATTGTCTAACTCAAAATAGCCAATATCAATCCCTTTTCGCTCACTACTGCCTAGGATATAGCTCTTTAGGCATTTTATTTTTGACAATTTCTAATTTTTCTAAATTCATATTTCATGCATATCACCTTCTGATTATTAGTGAACATTTGCTGCTGTTTCCTCTCATTTTGAGCAATGACCCTTCAGCAGATGAAAATCCTATAAGCATTCCGAGATACTGAAAATCACTCACAACAACCATAATTACCTTCATAATAAATAAAAAATCTCAGGCTGGTCAACATCATACAAGACAACCCCTCAAGTCACTACTACTTTGGAAATGTGCTCCAAAATGAAATATCTATTAAATGTTCATTAGATCATGGGCCACTGCAGCCAAATTCTTCATTGGATAAATGAAAGTTATCCCTGGTACATAATAAAAATACATGTAAGAATGTAATATGTTTCAAGATGAAACTATATCTTCCTTGCCTACATTTAAAAATTTAATAAATACTTCATAACTGTGGTGTAAATTCATTTGCATTCATTATATATTCTCACTGGTGGCAAGCTCACCCCAAATGGTTCTTGGGGAGATGTAAAAAATTGGTTCTTAAGAAGTAATAAAAAAGTGTTAGATATTAAAATGGTTGTGGACCTCCTGAGCTAAACTCTACCTGGTACAACCTGGTTTTACTAAGTCTTCTCTCTATATACGTTTAAATTTTCCACTTAGGTTGCCCAGGGCGTGGGGATCACATCTGACCTGATCCAGCTATGCAAAGGGAAATGAGAATTGAATTGCACATCTGCTCACGTTTGATGCCTATGAGACAGAGATCAGACATGCCTCCACCTTCCATCCCTCCTTAACCAATTCTGGCACCATCCTTCCCAGCACTCTACTTCTCTACTGGTTAGAGAGCCCATGATAATGACTAGACAATACTCACAATTATGAGGTTGATTAGGGAAGTTAGCAGATTACAAGTCAGAATGAAAAATAAAAACCCAGTAAGTATACAGTCCTTTGTCCAGCACTCATGTCAGCCATGCCCCAGGCATGTCTCTCTGGTCCGCAGTCACTCCCCACTTGGTTCCTTGCCCTTACCTTGCTCCAGCAAGTAATACAAAACTCTTTAGCACAGATAAATTCCCAAAGGGCACAACATTCTGCAAGCTAGCCTCCTGCCCAAAGCTACCCACCTTTACTCCTGTGGTCTGGGAAGTTCATTACATCTCATGGTCTCCATTCTCTGGCTTCTGATGCTTCTGTTGCTGCCTCCATTTCTCCATGCAGGGGAGGGGTCGTGTCTCAGACCCCAGAAGTGTATAACTCAACATTCTTGACTGGTCTTTGGCACCTTTGACTGGTCTATGGCATCTTGCTGCTGGTGGCATTTCCCCTAGGGGTGGAGGATATGCGCTTACTCTGCTTTGTTCTGGCCATGAACTTTGGGGATTTGTGCCCCCTAACTTTCTCCTCCTTGAGCCTGGCTAGCTGATGGCACCAGACATGTGAGAAAGTCAGGCCGGACAAGATGGCTGTACCAATGTTGTCCAATCTCTGGGTCTAGCTACTGAGTAGACCTAATCCACTGCCCAATAGTCCACTGGGAACTTCAAAGAGCTGATTAATTACACCCCTGTGGCTTTGCATAGCAGCAGCAGGAGAAAGGTAAATAACACCTATTGAACCTAAAAGGGCTGGCGGTGGGAAAACTGTGTAAAGCATACTTGGGGTAAAGAATGTGCACAGATTAAATTTGATTAAATGCTGGGAAAACAAAAAGTAGGTTCCTGTTGAAAGATCACAGGAGGTTCCAGGCCCCCTAGCCCTTAGTGCAGTCAGAGTAGGCTTGTGCTATCACTAAAATCACAAAGCCTTGCAAGGGTGGGGCCCGTGAGGATTTGCCTCCTGTTAGGCTCCTTAGAGGACACTGGACCTGGGAA